TCAGCATTCTACATCCAACTCTCTACTCAAAATCCTTTCCACTTATTTTCAGTTGTTATTCATCCTTTTCATGTCTGCTTCCGATTCCCGACGTAGTCCGTTCCTCGGCCTTATATTTCTCAGTTTCTATTCACGATTACAAGTTAGAGCTTGCTTCGTGATGCATTTTGATAATTTCCGTAATGTATGTCCTATCCACTTCGAATATCTTTTCTTAATTACCTCTTCATCTGGGAGTTGGTTTTCCTCTCCCACAGAAGGCTGTTGCTGATGGTATCCAGCTAACGGAAGTTGAGTATCTCGCATTGACAACTGTTTATAAACACTTGTACATTTTTGATGATGGTGTTGAGGATGTTAGACTCTCAGAACTCACTTGGTAAATACCTTATTTTTGTAATTTTATTTTGAAAATTCGAATTTCTTTGTTTTCGCTCCAGAAGCACTCTTTATGTCGTATTTCCCACTTGGGAGAATCTTAAACGTTATTGGTTCGTTGTATCTTTTAGTATTCTACTTTGTAGCGCTTCCCAGGGACAGTTTTTATGCCGTATATATACGTTTGATTTGTGCCTGTTGTCTTCGATCGTGCTTCTGGCTGCTTGCGAAATGTATTTCCTTGTTCGAACTTAGACTTCTCTCTCTAGTTAGCGGGACTAAGATAGCGAGCTTATTGGTCTTGGGTCACAGAGTCTTTGTTCCGTTTGCAAACTAGGTGAACTCGTAATCACTTCAAACATAGCAGATGGTTGTGGTAGTTTTCTAAGTTTCCGCTTCGTATAGTAGAACTGTGTTGATGTTCGTATTGAAGATAGCGAATTTGATATTAGTTGGCTGACAGGTGATTTGAGTGCCATATGTTCTTCAAATGTAGAAATGCTGTTTTTGCTTTGTCAATCGTTGCCTTTACGTCTGTATTCGATCTCTATCGTTCAGACTAGTACAAAAAACCAAATAGAAATAAGAGTTTCTAAATATTTTATATCTAACAGTTGATTTTGAAGAAACATATTCTTTCCAGGTTATAAATATAATAATTTAAATTACCGATCCATAGTGTTATAAACATTTACTCAATATCTTCTAAAAGTGATTACTTTACTGAAACGTTAATTTCAATGCATGTTTTCCGTTTAATATTTCCTTCATCCTACTGTCATATCGTTCTAATTATCCTATATTTAGGTGATGTTTCTAATAAGTCTATTTATTCTATACACAACTTCTTCAGTCTGGATTACGTAACATTGTGATATATTTCAGTCTGTTTAATAAATTTCATTTACCTGATTCAGAGTATCAGCAGCTTATGAGAATCTACTGAATTATTATTCTTTAATAATCTTGTGAAGAGAATCAACCAAAAGATCACTAAATAATTCGTTTAAAAATATTTTCACTTCCTTAATTACCATCCAAAAGAATACAAACAATTAATCGATCCCATAGCCATGAGATCTAGAGCTTGTTTAAAAGAAGAAATTTTAACCAAACAAATTTAAATCATCTAGGGCGTTATCAAGTAAACGAACAAACAAAACCTAATGAGTCAGTGGATAATATTTAATGACCATTCAATGAAAAAAATTTCTTTCAATTACACTATTTAAACTGTACATTCGCATTTATAGTTTATTGGAACATATTAGTCTATAATAAAACTTGTAGTGTCGGTTGCTATATCGAGCCTACATTCCTTATTCTACCTTCCGGACAGGCCAATTTATCCATTTTTCTCAAGCTACATTTTGACCTTGTCACTTATTCACTTATCAACTTTGACTGCTTTTATATAAGCGTATGTGTGTGCATCTCTTATCTTACTCATCACACGTCTATAGCTTATTTTTGTCTGATTATAAACATAGACTCACTCTTGGTTAAATCGATTCGGCTCACATGCCTTCTCCATTGCGCGTCACTTCGCTTCGTTCCTCTGATTGTTTGTCTAGATCAATCAATGTAAAAAATATACGTATTCAAAAATCCATTCCCGTATTTGACTTATTTAATTCTGTTATTTACTAACGTGGTTCAAGTTGATGATTATATATGATGATTGGCGACATGTATAATTCGATCAGATCTCGAAACACGAACAACTGATGCTTATTGTATCTCATAAAAAATGATCAGAAGTGTTTTCAAGTATCGAAATGAATTGTACTCCCAGATGAAGAGGTAATTAAGAAAAGATATTCGAAGTGGATAGGACATACATTACGGAAATTATCAAAATGCATCACGAAGCAAGCTCTAACTTGTAATCGTGAATAGAAACTGAGAAGTATAAGGCCGAGGAACGGACTACGTCGGGAATCGGAAGCAGACATGAAAAGGATGAATAACAACTGAAAATAAGTGGAAAGGATTTTGAGTAGAGAGTTGGATGTAGAATGCTGATGGGGTGATCTATTCTCCTTGACGAGAGGTAACTGGTGTAAGTAGATTTTGTACTGGTCACAATGAAAAACTTGAAAATAAATCAAATCAAATTTGATCATATTCATTAAAGTTGACACATTTTTATCTGTTTTACAATTAAGTTTAAAAGAACAGATTACACTTATATATGTTAGGAATATTTTTGTGCAAAAGAAAATAAAAGAAGTTACATATTCTAGTGAATCATTGTATTCTGTTGGAATATGAACGTACTTTTGCCATATTTTCTTTATTCATATTTGATATGTGCTGCTTATTGCTAATCCTATTTCTATCATTTGGTAGCTGTGATCAAATTTCTTGTATTACATATAGATCCATAAATAAACCTCAACTATTATGATTTGTTATCTTTTATGGATAGATTAATTTTGGTAATCTGATACTTGAATTGGTGAAATAATCCTCAGATTATTTTTTGAGTGAAATTGAATTAATCTATGATACCAATAAAAATAGTATTTACATAGATATTGAAAAATATTTGTTATCAATTGACTTAATCATTTATTTTCTTTGATTAGCCAACCATTCGTCTTTGTTCATCATAAGTAATTAGTCACTATGTGATGAATAAAACTACTCATAATAACCTGCATTATTGGTGATGACATAGTCATTATTTGCCTAGAAATTATATATTGTTCTTATTATATGATTAGCTTAAGAAGTCCAAGAATTTTTATTTATATCCCGAATTTTTCTATATGTAAATTTACTGGGTAATTCTTTGTAAATTTGTCTAAATTTTCATCTTGGAATGGATCTATTTTCGAAATTGATCACTTCTAAATTTAGGTAGTGAACGATCATAGTTTACTTATATAAATGTCCTTAAAATAAATAAAGCTTTCCGAATAGTATTAATGTTTTACAGCTGGGCTGGGCAGAGAAAGGTATCTACCTCAGTACAATGGAAGATGGTCGCGCAATTTCGTGGATTGATTGAAGTTAGACATTAACAATATTAGATGCCGGCCAGCTCAGTGGTCTAGAGATTGAGCATTTGGGCGCGAGACTGAAGCTCTTGGTTCAAATTTCGTGAGCGGGATGGTGGATGCTCACTGCTGAAAAGTCCATTAATAGGATGAAACAGATGTCCAGTGCTTCCAGGTTTTTCAATGGTGGTCTAACATCAATCGGTTCATGATTTCAATAAAAAACTTAATAATCTCCACAACCACATACTGATAGATACATTTATAGTAAATATATTAATTTTCATTTCAAGTCTTAAATCCATAGAGAGTTACTGAATGATTCTTGCCAAAATTTACTGTTGTACTTTGGGTAACTTAAAAGTTCACTTTTCGAACATTACTTATAATATGCACACTTTTCTGGGAAGACGCTATTCATGATAATATTGTCAAAATGAACAATATTGAATATATATTGTTTATAGCGGCAATAGTGTATTCGGATATCATAGATTATAATTTGGCAATTATTCTAAAATTCTAATATTCACTTTATCAAAGTTGATACAGTTTGTACCGATTAATTACCAAGGTGACCTCTTCCAACATTTCAAATAAATACATCACTTGAAGCACAAATAAACATAATTCAACTAAGCAAAGATGGATAGTGGCTAGCAGTGGAATCCAGGACGCGCGTTTCGTCCTGTTTGGGACTCGTCAACTGGATGTACCTGCATCTCGGAGTTGATGTTCACTCTGGGACTCGAACTCAGAACCTTTCACTTTAAACGCCATCGCGTTATCCACTTAGCTACTGAGTCCTGATAGCCACTTGCTTGTGCAATGGGGTGATGTTTAATTCACTTGATATAGTTTTACTTGAATCTTCCCTTGAACATCAACTCTGAGATGCAGGTACATCCAGATGACGAGTCCCAAACAGGACGAAACGCGCGTCCTGGATTCCACTGCTAGCCACTATCCATTTTTGCTTATAATGTTCGTAAATTAAGGCAATATCGAGGCATACGCACAGTATGCACATATGCCAATATGAGACTGATCAATTTCAGTCCTAAAACATCAATGGGAAGATTCAAGTAAAACAGTATCAAGTGAATAATTTAACTAAGTTATGTTTTATTATTGTTGACGATTAACCAATCAAATATTTCTTTTCCATCATCCAATTATATTATTTTCCCATGTAAAAAATCTATAAAAACATAAATATTATCAACTATTTAAATGAATAAATGAATTGTTCATCTTCTGAGAAAGATCGTGTTTGACGTACTTTATATTCACTAGTTTCTTCATTTGAACATATCAGTTTCATAACATATATTGTTGTAATTATATGGACAGATTAAAAAAAAACACATTTTTGATTAGTTGCTTATTCATAAATGAAACCAATATAATTGAAATATTCTAACTGGACTTTTAATGATAAAACGATTTTCGTCATATACTTTTCAGTTTCAATTAATAATATACGTACTATTATCACTGTCATGGTTTGATAATTTAAATGGCGATGATTCAACAGTCAGTGTATTTAAATCCCAATCTATCACACCTAGTCCTCAAAGTTGTAAATCTCCAATTGGTGATTGCTTTTGTGATGAAATGTGTGTAATTAATTCTGACTGTTGTGTAGACTTTAGGAATTTTCGTCAAGATACCAAACCAGTAGATTCTTCGACAATGCCTAAGTCTGACTGTGTTCACTCAGCTAGAACATTTTCGGATGTTGCTGATCTGGAGAAACATGGTAGTTGGTTTGAAGCTATTGCACATTGTCCACTAGGCACACCAAGTGAGATTGCGAACCGTTGCAGTAAATCAAGAGATTTGGTCATCAAGTTTGATGACGCTTCACTAAAGCACACATCAAATATTAGTGCTAAAAACAGATATTTTATTTCGCTGGATTTAGCTTTTCTAACATTTCGTATACGAACTGAAGATGTTCGACTGATGGCGCCAGTTGTTTCTAAGGTCAACGGACGAGTTTATGCTAATTTGGATTGTGCCATTTGCCATGATGAGTTAACTTCAACTGTTATAGATGAAGAACCGACGGGATCTGTTTTATTACAACGTCTCGATTTATTCAATGTTTTTGTGCACTGTCGAACATTTCATGATACTGACAGATTATGTGTGGCCAATTCAATGCTGCCAAGGAGTTGGAGACGTCCATGTGGAAAGAAAAGATTTCTCAAGCCACAAAGTACACAAGAAGTGTTCAGTTTGAGTGAGTTTAAATGGCATGAATTCTTAGTGTTGCCACAAAACTACATTGAATTCGATGGTTTTAGCAATGATGATTTGGTGAAGGGGAGTAAAACTCTTCGTACAATTGAATCTGTTTTAGATATACTTCAGTTACTAGTGTGTATTCTATCTGCATTCAGTCTATGCGTGCTGCTAATTGTATATGGGAAGACGCGAGAGTTTCGACGTCGAGTTTCTAATCAGTTGTTGATGGGGCTAGCAACTTCCATGCTTGGTTTGTTGTTGGTCTATTTAACATTGCCATTGCTAATTAATCAAAGAGACAATTCGGGTAGTGGATGTTGTCTTACAGTTGCAGTTTTATTGCACTACTTTTTCCTTGCAACTTTTGCATGGATGTTAACACTTGGTTTGAGTTTGATTAACACCTTTGGAGGAATTCACACATGTCAAGTGTGCTTAGCATACATAAAGTTTAAAATAACGCGTCAAAGTACAGATGAAGATTCATTGAAGAAGAAATACTCAGACACCATGAAAGTAAGTCGATGATGGAATATTTCTTTTTTGTTGCCTTTCTGTTTGATATTAGATAGTTATAACAGATAATTTACATTACTTAGGTATAGTTTTTGGCTTTCAGTTCGACATAGGATTGAAACACTATTTTAAGTAAAAGTTGTTTCACTTCCGCTCTCACGTTTTTTAAGTAGTACTTAGCATGAACAATTATAATAGTAAGTTTTAATAAGACAGACTACATTATCATTAACACTAATATACTTTACAAGGAATCTTATGGCCAACAGAGAGTGATATCATTTTTCAATAAGGGATTCATACTGAAAGTATAAAATGGACCAATACATGATTAATAGAATTGAAAATTCTATCATGAATATACATATAAAATTAACTACTGAACATACGTATATGAAATGATTGAAAAGTATTTGTTGTTTGATGGTTGTTGAATTTTATTGTGATTTATTATAATTTGTGTTGAAGTTTATTCTATTTTTTTGTTTCTAGAGTATGGTGATTCGAAAGAATCTGAGAGACCAGTCGACTACCATTCATAAGCGTACCATATTTTCAACGGTATTTGCAATCACCTTACCATTACTTTTTGTGATACCCGCACTTGTTCTTAATCAAGTTTACCAACCAGATTCATGTCAGCCAGAGATGAACAGTGACAATTACACACATGATGTAACTTACGTTAGCAGGGAACATGGAATCAATTGTTCTGAAACTTCAAGTCTAATGTCAAACTTCAATCCAGGTTTTTGTTCAATGAAATATCGAAAGCGACCATGGTTCACAGTGCATGCGGCTTTCATTCTGTGGTTTTTGGTACCTACTACAGCATTGTTGGCAATGAATTCTATCATACTACTAATGGTTGGCATGTATATTTGGTTGTTAGACCATAAAAAAACACTGGAACCAATCAAAGACGAATCAGTGGCCAGTGTGGACTCAAAATCTACTCAGATGCCTAATAAAAGTAATCGCAATGTAGCCAAGATTTGCTTGCATTTATCAATCACTCTGGGTGCTGTATGGATATTCCAGCTGCTTGCAAGTCTCCTACCTCAGCAAACCATTCTGAGTCGTGTTGCAGCTCTGGTTAGTAGTGGGCAAGGTGCAGCCTTGGGGTTCGTTTCTTTGATGAACTCCACAAAACAAAGTTATTTTCAAATTGGTCTAGCGTATTCATTAGTAGGCGTTCAAGATCAGGAGGAAATGAGTCCAAAAGTGCATCATCATCAAGTCGAGTGGATACGAAGGTTGTATCTACATCTGATTCCACAATAGGATGATATGAATATGCTGCTTTAACTATTGAGAATTTGTATGAGTTTCACTCTCTTAAGCAGAACTATCGAAATAATTATAACTTTCAAGTGATTTGATGATCACTGCCATTCTACTCAGTAGTTCAGTGTCTTTTCTCTTTGTCAGTGTTGCTTATTGCTCAACTACTATGTCAAAACCTTTTTATTTTATTTAATGAAATATTCACTTTCTTATGATCAGCTATGTAATGTTATAATTATAAGCTTTGTTTGTTTAGCTTTGTGCAAAAATCAACCTGTATAAACCTAATATATTATATGTTTGTTTATGTTTTCCAAATATCTGGTCTCTGACTTTACACACTTGAAACTTTATTGTCATTATTACATGGAAATGGAAAACGTAAAGTATAGTACAAATGTTTTAAGTACATATCATGGTTTTAGTGTTTCCAACTGAGAGAAACTTATTGAACTCAGTGGATAAAGGATGAAATTGTTTACGCTTTCTTGAACGTGGTTGGTATAAAACAATCTGATGATTGGTGATTTAAGGTGAAAATGAGTCATTTTCGTCCGCAGTAATTCTTTTTTCGGTAGATTGTAGTGAGCTTCTATTCACCTCAATTGCTGAACATAAAAGTATCTCTTAGTAGTGCGGAGGTCATCGGTCCCACATCCCGTGTTTACTTGATATTTTTGAATTGGATTGGAATATTTCCAGATTCCTAGTTTCTACTTCCATATTTAAATGCTTTGCATGTAAGTAGAAGCTGGTGAACAATTTTCCAACCAACACTATAGCTATACTATAAGTGTGAAGTTCAAACTTGTGACAAACCGCGCTTTGTCATCATGCTCATAACTGCGTGCATTTAAACAGTCTAGAGCAATAGAGATATCACCCTCAGTTGTGTTAAATGAACAAAATTCTAACTAATATTAATTCGAGTAAATGACTTAAACAAAATTTTATGAACTGAAATCATACACCTATCTCACTTATTGGAGGTAGGAAACTAAGTACAGCAGCCCAATCCTGACAACTGTTTCAGTTTAAAGTGAGGAAACTGTCTAAAAATTTATCTCAGAATGATAACTCATGATTCGTTCATGAGAATTTTGTCAAAATTTAGTGTACAAACCTATGGAATACCACAGGAAATATTGTTTTAATATGACCACTTTCAGTATAAAATTCTAATACGAAACTGAATAGATCTGTAGGGTATTACGCTCATATGAGCGTAATGCGCTTCTCGTTGTTCGAAAATGGGAGAATTTCGCCAAAATGCAGGCTTCCACTCGAGAACAACTGTTTTTTCTCCACGAGTATCTTCGCCAGCATGTTCTACTAACAAGTGTAAGATATAGACCTCCAATCAACTGCCCATTGGTATGGGAAATAGCTGAGCAAAGTGGAAGAAAAATGGTACACCTAATGATAACGGATGCACACTACAGGATCCGCAAATACCAACAAGCAAAAAAAATATGTAGGGTAAATATACTTTGAAGCAATTAATGCCTTTGATAAATTTCTATTGTGTAATAAGACGAAGATTACTATGTGATGTATTAACGCAATACAATTTCGAACAATCTGATCACACGTAATAGAATTGTTAAGAACATTTATATATAAAAATAAAAGGTCAACTAGACTAGAAATGAAGGGTAAGAGGAGACAAGGATAATAAAGAAATAATATGAAAACCATTTGAACTCTCATCACTCTGGATAATAAGCTCTTATTACCAGGGTAGGTTTAAAGTGAGTGCAAACTGTTTATGAGTACACATAGGGGGTTTGAATTTTCGTAGATATACCTTTAAGTAGACTGGAAGATGCTTCATTTTTACAAAACCAACGTGGATACGTCAATACCATAGTAATCATAGTTATTGCCCCGTGCAATAAAAACGGGGTTTTATAAGGTGCATATTTAACAGGCTTGATCGCATTTGTACAAATGACGTCATTGATGATAATGTTAAGTTGCTAAATAAAACATTAATAGAAAATGACTATCCTCTGAAATTCATTAACAGATGGATAGTCCATGGTACAGTGAGACCTACTGTAGCCTTGGCAGAAAAAAGCCTGTCTACATCACCTTACCATTCAGAGGTGATTCAAATAGCCTTTTATTGAAACAAAGGCTTAAATCAGTCATTAACAAGACATACTGTGCAACGGTCATTATCAAGGAAGCAACGAGGTTCATGTTTCATCGAAAACTTAAAAGACAAGAAAACAATTGTGTCACATCTCACTGTGTTTATCAATTTAAATGTATGTGGTCACACATACATAGGGAGGAGTAATCATGATCTCAAAGTTAGGGTATGTGAACATGTACCTAAACAAATAGAATCAAGTGACCCAATAAGAGTAGAGGATAAACATGCATCATCCTGTATTGCCAAACACATAAGATTGGTTTTAACTCGACTTTTGTTGTGTTGTACAAAAGTGTAAAAGGGTGTATACTAAGGTTTATTGAAGCCTTAGCCATACGAAAATTCAAACCTCCTCTGTGTAAATCTATTTCAATCAAAAAATGATTCCTATTATATTACTTACAAAAAAATGTTCTGATTTACCCACAGTTGGATTTATTGAAATGAAAATATACTCAGTGATTGAAGCGACAATCATTGGAAATATAATTTCATTCTAGTTCTACTATGAATATGATAAATTATGTAGGATTTCAATTCACTCATCAATTTACCGCATTTGGAACTTCCACGATAATTCACTTGTGATCATTTACTAAGATTTGAAAAAAATTAACATGGACCATAGATACTTACATTATTGTTACTGTTAAATTGATAATGAAGAAAAATGGAATTATTTTTATTCAGTGTTCATTTCCAAAGAGGTGAAATTCAATATTTGATGTCTTGTTTATATTTGGAGTATACGTACTCATCTCTGTCGGTATGAGATTCATTTTCATTATAATCATCATTTCAAGGACTTTATAATGAGTAGATAAATCTATCAATTTTCTAAATTCAATTTCTGTATGTACTATAATTCACACATCAATGATTCAATAGAAGTTTATGAATAAAATAATGTGACTGATTAATTATTGACTGCTTTTTTCTATTCAAATTACCTTAATATGTTGTGGCTGTGAACTATATTTCGGACGTTTTAACATACAGATACCTAAAGCAAAATTTGTAAGTATAAGGCTGTGGATATTGTTGAATTTAATTGAAGTGAAAAACCGTGATCCGTAGACTTAACTCGTGTTGGGTATGAGGAAGTTGTCGACTGGAGACAATGAAAGATGATCGCACAATGTCGTCAATTGACTGACGTTAGACATTAACACATCTGGATTCAAGCTCAGTGGTCCAAAGGCCACTCACTTGAGTGCGAGAATGAAGGTCCTGGGTTTGATTCCCATGTGTGGGGTTGTAGATACACACTACCGAGTAGTCTCATACTAAGAAAAAAAGGCCGTCTAGTACTTCCAGGTTTTCAATGTTGATCTAACTTAGATGGAGTCAGGTTTTTACATGTAGTGCTACAATGTTTAAAACTTCACATAGATATCTTCATCAAATTTCACTGGATTGAAAGTAATTACTTTTGTGAAGTCTCAGCCGATAATATATCGATTTCCTACATTCTTTTATATTTGAGGTACGGTAATTAGGTAAAACGCAGTTTTCAAAAGTCCTCCGACAAATTGACTGTCAAGATAAACTGCATTGAAACAAATGAAAAATGAAGGAGAATTTCAAATTTTCTAGAGTTACACTCATTTTATTTATTTGGATTTAATGACTTTTTCTTGAAATCATAATATTTATTTAGGATGTATGGGGTTGTGGAGATTTCTGAATCTCATTGAAATCATACTAAACAACTCTATAATTTAATAACGTAAGGTAATTCGGAGTGAATATCAGTTCTGAGATGCAGGTACATCCAACCGACGAGTCCCAAATAGGACGAAACGCGCATCCTGGATTCCACTGTTAGCCCTCATCCATCTTTGCTTATAATTCAGACAGATTTGGCATTCAAGTGGATATTTTCAGTAATTACTTAGAAAACAAATAAAACTTGTTATTGATCTAGAAATTAATGTTAAAACAAACTGATCGGAAAGTTTATTCACATGGCTTTGATTTACCAGACAAACTGAACTGTAAAGTTTGTTGTTTACATTAAAAAATCGGAAAAAATTCTTACCAATTCAATGAGTGAAAAAAACATTTCATTTCATTAGAAAAATTCTCTGGCAAAAGTCGTCAAGTGTTTTGAATTTTAGTTTTTAACAGAGATCCATGATCTCACAGTAAGTATCCAGTGTATTGTTTCACTTTTCTTATAATTATCTAATCATAACCAGTCGAACATTTTAATAAATGTATTTTTAGCAGTGATATGAATTTTGCCGTGATGAATTGTGAGTTGACAATGATTGACAGAAATGTAAGTATATGAATGCTATCACGATCAAACTTTTTTTTCTGATTGAACGTATTAGGTAATAATGTAATTGTGTTACAGAAACTAAACTTAGGCATACTAAATAAGTACTCACTAGTTGAATGTTGCAAAAATAAGGTATTAAAATTGTCTAACTGTATGTGATATCTTATATTCAAGCATACTAAAATTGTCTAACCATTCACTGTTAGATTATTATTCATTTATTATTAATCCTAAGAACTAAATCATATGTATTGTAAACCATAATTACTTACTTACTTACGCCTGTTACTCCTCGTGAAGAAGCATTCGACATCCAAACCTGTCCTGGACAATCCTTTCCAGCTCCTTCCAGTTGTTATTCATCCTCTCCATATCTGCTTCTATCTCCCGACGTAATGTGTTCTTTGGCCTTCCTCTTTTCTGTTTCTCTTCAGGATTTCAAGTTAGGACTTGCCTCGCAATGTAGTTTGATGACTTGCGTAATGTATGTCCTATCCATTTCCATCGTCTTTTCCTAATTTCCTCTTCAGCTGGAAGCTGGTTTGTTCT